AGAAGAGAGAGAGAGAGAAAACCAATAACATTTAAAATCCAAAAATACCCAGAAATAGAGAGGAGAGAGAAAACCACCAATTGTAATTTTGTAACAAAGCTAAATGAAGAGATGAGACAGATGAACCAGTAATAGCCTTATCTAGAAATGTGAGAGCTATAGTTAAATATATATCGTTAGAGAGGGAGAGAAAAAGCAAACCACAGATTTCAACAAGAAAAATTTCTGATGGAGATACATCAAGAGAGAGAGAGAGAGAAACCAGAAATCGAAATATGTAAACCTGTAACAGGGATAGATTGAGAGAGAGTAAGAGTCATACTGGTGACTTAGTAATCCCTAAATTTTGCTTGCGGGAACTATACTATTCTTCTCAGTGGAGCTCAAACCCAAAGGTAAAGGGTTGAACTTCAAGCTGATCTTATCCTTCTCAAGCCCTACTCCTAACTCTGGATCTTCAACCTCCTCTTTACAATCGCCATACTGCAGGAGCGAAGCCCAAACATTGAAGCCAATATGAGTTCGAGCCCTCCTCTCTTAGAGAAAACCCCCCAATTTTCCGCTCGTTCTGGCTGTAAAAGTGCTCAAAATAAAGTGGGAACGAGGGAGATCGAGAGATTTGGTGTTTTTAATGTTCCCAATTTCGATTCAAATTTGAAACGGATTTTTTAAATGGATATTTAGGTATAAACCCAGCCATCAGATTTGATTTCATCTAATGGATAATATTGTGCCAACACACCGTTGCATTATACTATAATACAACGGTGCCATGAAATCACTCCCCATTTTATATATATATATATATATATAAAAAGGATCTAATGCAATGATTGTATCATATTATAATGCAACGACACTTCTAAAAAACCATGTTTGTAGTATTTGTATGACCCAAAATTTTGCACACTCTTTTTTCATCTCAATAATCAATCCAAAAAAAAAAAAAGTTCAATTTGAACCCTTAGATATGGTCAAAATGAGTCCCCTCCAAAAATGAATCTAAACCATTCATTTGGTGAATTTCAAGATCTTGGCTGTTACAAGCTCAAAATCATTTTCTTTATTTTTTAACATTGTTCATCTAACGATAATAAAACTGTCGAAAAATATTGGAAATGAAAAAATCCTTCTAAGGCTTAGTTCTAAGCATCTCACTAAAATGAGCTGCCTATGTTAATTGGGCTAAAACAATACTTTTTAGGTTGTGTTTTCAATTTTTTACCTTTTTGTAATTGTTCTATAAACATAAGAAAATATTGAAAATGGACGGTGTAGATAATATGTTGTAAAATGCACTATTTGCAAGACTTAAAATCTTTTTATTTTTCATTGTCATACATCTCGATGTCGAGATGATCAATCAAAGGGTTTTTTAACATTAAAACTACTTTTTCCAATGGATTTTTGAGGTGCATCCGTAGTTCTATATTATAAGGTTGCATCCTTATATAAACTTTCCTATATGTATATTACAATTTTATAGTTATATAATAAAAGAATATTCAAACATTTGCTCTTTTGGAAATCCCAATCCAGCTAATTTTAGTTGGCTCATTAAAGACCATAATGATAATCTTATTGTCTCTTATTTGGGTCATTTCTAGGTTGCAGGGGCACAAGGTCATTGAGGGAGACTCAATTAACATTGCGTGGAGCAAATGGGAGGCCAGAATACCAGGGAGGTTGGTTTCAACTTTTGATGAGATTAGAATCTCCTATCTAATCTCTCCGCTTGCTATTGTTCTAGAGACGTCAATCTGAGGCTGATTTGTTGGCAAAAGTAGGGGGGGTAATAGACCCAGACTTGACTCGAGACCCGACGGGTAAACTCGACTTGGGTATGAGCCCAAAATTTGGACCTGGCGGGTCGAGTATGGGTTCAAATCTTAGACTTGAGTACTTTTTGGGCCGAGGTCAAGATCCATGTAGACTCGACTTGGACTCGACCTAAATTATATTAATTTATTATATATTTATAGATATAATAATTAAATAATGCATACACATATATTTAACATCTTCATGGAATATATTTAAATATATAAACATTATGAATTTTGGACCAAGTCCAGTTCGGGTTCGGTCTGGTATGGGTATGGGTCTAGATCCCAATTGTTGCGCGTGGAAGCTTTAAACCTGATAGGCAAATAAAGTATGCGAAAGAAGAACCGAAAAAAACAAGCAACAAACAAGAAAATAAAGCGGGAAATAAATAACAAAAAAGAAAATATCAGGATTTACGTGGTTCGTCACAGATATGACTACATCCACGGGCAAAGACGATCAATGTTTTTCACTAAATCAAAGGAAAAAAATTATAAGGAACTTACTTGAGAGAACAAGATACACAGAACTCAATCTCCCACTAATCCTTCTTCTCTCTACAATTTTCTCTCTTTAGAAAACCCCTAAAAGTTTTGCTCTATTTTTATTATATTTTCTCTCTCTAAAATAACCCATTATATAAAGAAAATAAGGCCCCACACTTTTCCTAACTTTATCAAAAGGTAACTTTATCCCTATCCACATGGACTCAATGCCCCATTTTAATCTAAATAGGACTTATCCATAAAATAAAATCCTACAAAATAGGAATAATCTAAAAAATAGCAAACCTAAATTTAAAGAAACTAATCTCTTAATATTTGCGATTCATAACAATAATTATCAACAAAGTTCCATCTTGGCATGAATTTCAAAAGACATTCTCATCGACCATCTTATCCACATACGCCCCAATGGGCGCTTACTTTGACAACACATTAGTCAAGTCCAAGCATACCTTGAATTTTTGTAATTGAACTGGCTTTATCAACATATCTACAACATTATTCTTCATGTCAATCTTCAGTGACAAGATATCACCTTCAACTATTATCTCATGGATAAAATGGTACCTGACATTAATATGCTTCATCATTGCATGATATACATTGTTGTTCACCAAATATATTGCACTTTGACTATCACAATAAATAATATTCACATTATGTTGTAAGCTCAAATCACTTGGAAGCCCTCTAAACCAATTGACTTCTTTCACTGCCTCGATAAATACCATGTATTCTGCTTCAATCGTAGACAAGGAAACCACGGTTTGTAGCATTGACCTCCAACTGATGGAAGTTCCTGCAAGTGTAAACACATAACTCGTAGTAGATCTCCTACAGTCCAAATCACTTGCAAAGTCAAAATCAGTATAACCAACAACCTTGTTACCAAACTCGTTATCTATATCAAGGATGTACCCCTTAGGTAATGCAGAATCCATTTTACTGCATGCCAATGCTCATTTCCTATATTAGCCATACACTTGCAAACAACACTAATGACATGAGAAATATCTAGACGAGTGCAAACCATCTCATACATGAGAGTTCCAACTATACTCGTATAGGGAACATGTGACATGTATTCCTTTTCAGCATATAAACTTGGAGATAATGCTGCCGACAATCAGAAATGTGCAACAAGAGGAGTATCCACAGGCTTTGGATTTTCCATCCCGAATCTAGCGATGACTTTCTTAGTATACTCCTTCTGAGATAGCCACAATTTACCCAACTTTCAATCTCTACATATCTCCATGCCCAAACTGAGTCTTCAATTTATTGATTTCTGAAGAATTCTTCCCAGCTATAAGCATATCATCCACATAAAACAACAAATAGATGAACGAACCATCAGTAAATCTATTAAAATAGACACAATTATTGTACTTACTTCTGATATACCTGTGTCCAATCATGACTGTATTAAAATGCTTGTACTACTGCCTAGGAGACTGCTTTTGGTCGTACAATAACTTCTTTAGTGTGCTGACATGCCTTCCTAGCCTTCAACGACCAACCCTTCTGGCTAAGTCATATAAATCTATTCTTTTTACTCTCCATGAATGAATGCAGTCTTTACATCAAGCTGCTTTAATTCCAAATTAAATAATGCAACCATTGCTAGTAATATCCGAATAAAAGTATGTTACACAACTGGAGAGACAATCTCATTATAATCAATACATTATTTTTGTGCATAGCCTTTTACAACCAACATGCCTTAAACCGATCAACACCAGTCTCAGGTGACCCTTCGTTCTTTTTATATACTCATTTTACATCCACTAACTATCTTGCATTTAGGCAACTTCACGAGATCCCAAGTATGATTCTTTTGAATATATTCCATTTTTCATTCATGGCATCACTCCACCTGCTACTGTTACTATCTTGCGTAACTTTTTTAAAAGTGGATGACTCTTAGCTTGAGACAGCTAATGCATAAACCACCATGTCTTAAAACCATATTGCACCCCTAGCTTTTTATTTTTCCCTTTTCAAGATGAAACTCTTCCTCATATGGAGTAGGCTCAAAGACCTCTTCATGGTTAACATCTTCCTCCACTCTTTCACAGGGAATTTCTGACACATATTTTGGAGTATTTTCTAGAGGTGTCAACTCCACCTCAACTGCATCATTGCTGTTGAGATTTTATTTTTCTACACTCTTCTGAATATGCTTTAATATGACAGACTCATCAAACTTAACATCACAACTGATAATAAACTTAGGTGACTTAAGATTTGGGCACCACGTTCTATAGCCCTTAACCTCATTCGCATAACCAGGGAAAATACACTTATTTGATCTGTGACTCAACTTATCATCTTTCACATGAACATAAGTGGAACAACAAAAATACTTAAATGAGAATAAGCAAAATGTTTATTGGACCATACTTCTTGTGGTGTTTTGAAGTCGATTGATGTAGATGGTAACCTGTTACCCAAAAGTCTTTTGACAAAGCAATGTTACTCAACATGTTGTGGGCCTTCTCTAGAAGTGTCATGTTCATGTGCTAAACAACCCCATTCTATTGCGCCGTTTCCGGAGTGGTGAAGTGATGAACTATTCTTTCGCTCTTTCAAAAATTCACAGACTCGTTGAAGTGTACTCTCCATCATTATCAGTCCTCAAGCGCTTGACCTTCTTTTTAATCTGTCTTTCGACTATAGCTTTCCAATGCTTGAATGTGTTAAATATACCTACATTTTTCTTTAATGTGTAAATCTACACATTCTTTGATAAATCATCTACGAAGGAAACAACGTATAAAGATCCACCTTTCGAGACAACCGATGTAGGGCCCCATACATGTGAATAAATATAGTCAGGAATGTCTTTTGTGGTATGCTCTGACATGCGAAACTGCACCCTCTATATCACCAGATCTTGATTTTTCATATATAAAAGTAACCATTGTATCTCCCTCGTTAAGGATTTATCCATAATGACCATGAATGGTTGCTCCGTGGGTCGTTAAATAGTACTTAGCTAATCTTATTACTAAAGAGTCAACATGAACAATTATAATTTGACTAGATTACGCTGCTTATCATAGACATAGTGCTCATAGAATTTCAACTTGCACTTCCTCATGCCATTAATAAATTCGCGTTTGCTAAGTTCCGCCAAAGCTCTCTTACCTATGTGGCCCAAACGTATATGCCACAATTGAGTCAAGTTAGAATCGCTATCATCAGATATAGAAACTGTTGCCTTATTTGTGATAATATTATCAAACAGCATATATAAATTTGGTATAGTCTTCTTGCTTTTCCTCACAACC